TGCCAGGACGGACTCTTCCGGCTGTAAGAGGTCATCCCAAGTTGGTGAAGTCTCACCAACAGCGCGGAGACCCGACACCAGACGATACAGTACCTAACAGCACATACGTTCCTCAACTGAGGAACTGAGAATTTTACTATTTACGAATAAGGGTAGAGATGTACAGAATCCTATAACAATTTCCCAACATTTTCTCATAATTTTTGCCAAAAAAATGTAGTTGACCATGTGCATATTTTCCCACACCAGCAGCTAATCACAGACCCTCTTATCCTCTTACTGCAACTACCTTAGGTGGATCCTCCATTTTAGAAGGCCTCTTGCTCGGCTTCACTCGCCACAATGCTAGTCTACACGGTAGCCTAGTTCGAGCAAATCCATGCAACCACGACGCTGATTGAATCACGATAGCCACACATTCCAGAACCTACCACCCCACATCAGCAAAGCCCCAGCACCCAAAACCGCACCTGCCGACTACTCCGCGGGCATCGGTCAAAGATCGTCAGCATAAACTCCCACGCGCCGTCCACCTCAGCATCATCGATCTCGTCGAGAATCTACCAAAACCAGCACGACCGAATATTCAACAAAAACTACACATTTTTAATCTCAAATTCAGCGAGTGAAAATAACAAGGAGAAATGAAATTTGATTCTCGTGAAAGGAGTTTTCCACAGAATGAAAGTTCAAATTCGAAATAAAAGGTATATTACCACCGACTCTCTGGCAGCGTCCAGGATCCCAACTCGTAAGCGTTTCCATAACGACTGTCCTTCATTTTCGAAAGTTCGCTCATCCCAGCTCTCAGCGGCTAATACCATCGGCAGGCATTCTCTCAATCGCCGTGCTCTTTCTATCATAACAAACAGCTACAGATGGTGCCCACTGACGCTACTGTACACAATACACTCTAGTAGTAGTGAGAAGCAGTGGTGACAGGCCTACACAATGTCTGTGGTAGTCGTCACCACCAATGCACGAACCACTCTTCAGTGAGAGCATAACACCGTCCATAAATTGTCCAACATAATTCCTCATCGGCCGCCCTGGGAACTTGAACCCGCTGCTTCTCCCGAAGCCGGTTCCAGATGGGAGAAATCCACTCGACGCCACAACACGATTTTCCCCAGCGAGTCGGCGCTGGCCAGAAGTGAATCCTGAGAGCAACGGTATGTCTGTTGGATCGCAACGAAAAATCGTATCCTCTCATTTCACCTGTTGATTAGTTGCTACTGCCACCACAGGGACAGTGTGATGGTGCAGAATACTCATACGATAGTTGCCAGTCTTTGCCAAGGAGTATATATAAACCCCTTTATCTTCGGAACCCGATATACAATACCCCATTTCACTAGGCGAATAGCAGCTCTTTATCGGCAGCAACGAATGCGCCACCCGCAGACGGTGACGCACAGTCAGATTAGTGAGGACCCCAGGGGGCGGACCTACACCAACATCATCACTACTACTACTACCCCACAACCCATGCCCCTACCATAGGTGCAATCAATGATGTTGATGTTGGAGTCACTCGTATTGACCAACAGCATAGGGGCATTTCCGTGTGCCCCCGAGACGAAGGTTATACACGTTATCCCAGCCCTTGAGAGTTGGAACTTGAACTTAAACTTCAAATTCGCACTACACAAAAACGGACGAATAACAACCACGATTGACGCAGTCATACATCCTCGAATGTATATATGATAATAAATGTCCATCTACACTCCTGCGATTTCTGTGTACTTTTTTAAATCCGAAAAAAGCATCACAACAGTAATTGGCATATGTTCGCTCTCCTCAACTGTGCTCAAGAGTTTCCTCCGCTATCGTAGGAGCTTATATACGAAGTCGCATACAAGTGATCAGAAATGAATAAAAATT